AGGGAGGCCCAGGAATGTACCTTTCCCCTGTTCCCCTAAGAACGTTGATGAATTCACCACCCTAAGAATTTGGTATCTTGGAAAGAAAAAGTGGGTGGCATGCAATACAGTACCAATCCATTCATCTCACTCCATCATTCTCACTACAGAAATGTCAACGCCTCACTGAACAGAAACGAGTATTGGGATATGTTTCTTTATTCGCCTAACAAACACTGCAGTACACATAGGGAAAATCGAAAGTCAGCAAGGAGGAGGCAAGAGGAGTCTAATACATTGAATCAACTGTCAGAAAAGCTAAACTTTTGATTAAGTATTTGTTGCTTGAGACAAAATTTTAAAGACAGGTTTTTTAGGCGAACCTGTCTAAGATGTCCTTTAAGTATTCTAAAGCAAATAAAATAGAAAAATCCACTCACAAGGAGTTAAGAAATCTTAACATTCACAAAATGTTCAATGATAAATGATTTTTATAGATACAAAATTAAATTGAAAGTGTCACTGGACAAATTTGTTTCTGACCAAAGCCTTTAATTGCAAACTTTAGAGTTAGGCAAGCTAGTCATTAGGTGACTAGATATTAGGCTAATTATGTTGCATAAGTTGGTTTCTGGCACTTTGGTCTTTTGCTTTTAACATGTTGGGAGTATAGAAATGGAACCTCGGGACCTTGATGATGACTTCAGGATGGATATTTTCCCTGGGGCTGGATGGAATGGATGCATCCTGATCACTGAGCTTTGGAATATCCCAAACTTGGGCAGCATCATAGTCCATGCAATTTAGCACCCAGAATCAGTGCTTCTCAACTCCCTGTGTGTGGGAAGCACCAGGGAAGCCTTTAAAATCCAAACACCTGGCCCAGGGATTCTGACTCAGTGGGTCAGATGAAGCTCAGGAATAGAAACTTGTAGCAAACACCAAGGGATAGTTGCAAGTGGCCCTAGAACTCTGAAGTAGTGCCGCTTTTGTTTGTACACAGAAAAAAGAACAGAGTAAGAGTCTAAGAGTCGTTTTCAGACATGACTTTTTAAACATACAAAGCTGAACCCCCCCCCCATCTCATGTAGGATCCCTGAGCAGGGTTGTGGGGTGTCTGCATCAGTATGACCCGAATGTACCCCTGGGACTGAGAATCATGGGGCTGCCAGAGCTCTGGGTCATGGAGTCCAGCACCTCACCGTGGCTCTGGCTGGGCACCCTGTGGGGAATGCTGCCATGCATGTGGGAGGAGCCCCCCATGAGCTAGCAGAGAAGACAAGGAGCTGCCAGGAACCAGCACAAAATCAAGCAAAAGTAAATGGGGGTGCTTACTATCAGGGTCGCAGGGGTTCAGAGCAGAAAAGGCTGCAAGGAGGAAGTTGAGTCTTCTGTTGTGTTTTGGAGGGTGAATACAATTTTGATCATCAGGCAGGAGCAGGGACAGTGTTTCAGGAAGTGAGGACTGCAGGCCCTGAGGGAATGAGCGTGGTTATTGGGAACCTGGCCTCACTGGAGAAGCCAAGGAGATGTAGGAACTGGACAGAGTGACTCAGAGTTACATTGTGCCTTACAGCGTTGACTGGAGCAAGGAGCCATTGTGGGGCCTCAAGCATGACCTGCGCTGTACGGAGATGGCTGGTACAGGGCGGGAATGGATGAGAGGGCTGGGACCCTTTTATCCGCATAAAATAGAAGATGAGGTCCCAGGCTTAGCGTCATGGTCAAGGGGGCAGAGAGCAGAGAGGTTTGCAAGGGTTAGAAAGATAAACAAGAATTCAGAATGACTGATCTTGTACAGCTGGCTTCACATCCTGTCTCCAGATCTGTTAAAAGGAATGACTTGATATTAAGATGTCGTAAAGATATAAAAATAAGGCACTGTCAAGTTTCTAAAGATCTGAGCTGCCTAGGCTCACCTAGATCATCCAGGATGCTAGAAAAAGATGGGGACTGAAAGCCTACAATTCCACCTAGTTTTAACCTTTTTCTTAATCTCCTCCTTTTTCACCAAACCCACTGAGCCAAAAATTATTTTAAATGATTCAGTTTTGTTGTCTGTCCCTATTTAATTTATGCTCATGTGCAGTGAAACAACCAGAAGGAAGATGCAGGCAGACTAGAGGAAGAACAGGTTCTCCATGGCCCTAGCCGGTCTTTCCTGGGACAATAAAAGTAACTGTCTCCACTAATTTGGTCCCACTGGTCATTTCCTCTTTGCCTGTTCTGATAGAACTCCTGGTGTACACATGGCTGTTTTTCCAATAATGAAAACAACTACATTTTGCTATGGAAGTGTAAGAAGTAACACTGTGGAGGAATGAGTGCAGGAACTTAGGGCTTAACAAGACGGGCTGAACTCTCTGTAATCACTGTGCCTTCCTGGGCAGATGGGTCCTGGCTGCCCTCCTGGCTCTGCTTTCTCCTGCCCAAGCCTAGTAGCACCTGCCTGCCTCAGGCAAACAGACACCTAGAGCCACAATGGAAGGAATCACAGACTAAGGGTCCCTGAGGAAAATGGTAATGCTTCCAGACTCATTGCTAGCTTTGTGCTAAAGCTTTCAAGAGCCAGAGGACCACACCCTTTAGTAACAGGAGCAGGACAAAGGTGGTGAGTTTCTGCATCTCAGCCACTGTGGAATTAGCACCACTGTGTCCTGTGCATGGGGGACGGTGCTGAACAGGATGAGCCTTCAGGGGGAGCATAAGAGAGCCTCGTGGCTACGGTTGGTTCGCACTTTGGTGTCAGAAGAGCCATCCCATCAGGCTCACTGGAACGGTTAGGCTTTTTGTATCTCAGTTGTAGGATCAGCAATTTAGTGTCCATACACCCACAGCTGCGTGATCCCAAAACTCTGATCCATTTTATGTTCATATCTACCTCCTAGACTCTCTCTGGGGAAGGTGTAAGTTCATCCCTCACGAGAGCATCATAGTTTCAGCTTGTTCTGTAAACATTTCTTGAACCTCTTGCTCTCTGTGAGCTGGGTGCTTGTTCAAGCTACTAAGGATATAATGACAAATTATTCACAGTCTTTGTACCCCGAAGAGACAGCTATGTAAACAGGAAGCGCATTTCAGTGCCTTCAGAGTCCGGTGCCATCATCTGTAAAAGCGAGGTGATAGTGGTGTCCATGTCACAGGCTTGTTGTGAGGATTAAACTGGGTAGACATGAACAGCACCTAGAACCACATCTGGCACATAATAAGCCTGCTGTAAGTGCTGACGTTGTTATATGACATGCCCACAGTAGGTCCAGTGGGTGCAGAATGGGAGGAGTGATGTAATGATAAGGAAAATTGTTCAGAAGAGGTCACTTTTGAGCTGTATCTTAAAGGGAGAGTAGGAGCTGATCAAAAAGACAACAGAGAGAAAGTTCCAATCTGAGGGAAAGCAGCAAAGGCCGGGGTGTGGAAACATCAGGTGGTTTGGGGAACTCAGCAGTTCAGGAGTGAAGGTGGAGGCCTGTGTGTCATGGTGAGAAAAAGGCCCAATCCAAAGGGGGGAGGCGCCTTGAGGGCTCACCTCAGGTTTCTCTGTGAAACAGGAGAGGTGGTTCAGTGAGGGTGGGGAGCCAGGGAAGGCACAACAGCCCTGGCAGAGAAAGTGAGAGACAAAGCCCACCTGGTAGGACTGAGCTGAGGATGGAGACTACATTTTTGGGTGAGCAAATAAGTAAAATCCATGGGACAGGGGGAATACATGTCCTAGGTGAGACTGCACTCAAAAGGGAGATGGGAGCGGTTATTTCCAGCAAGAAGAACCAGAGCAGACTTCACAGGGGAGAGATGCAAACATGACATGGACTGAACAGCAAAGAGACCATGGAAGCCTTGACTGATGTGTCAGGAAGGGGAGCTTTATTTCCAGGCCATTGGTATGTTTTAAACTGAGGAAGGATGTGATCAGATTTGTGCTCTAGGAATGTCATTTTGCCAGGACTGTGGCAGTGCAACTGCCACATTCAAAGCAGACAGAGTGTTGGAGAAAAATCTAAGGCCTCAAAGACCAAGAGTAGAACCCCACAGTGCTCCCCAACAGGAACGCCAGGCGTGAAGCCAAGTGTCCTGACCCCCCTCACACATGCGCCGGTCCACCCCTCCCCTCCTGCCCTTCCTGGCCACATTCTCCCAGGGAGCCTGCAACCCGCAGGACTCAGCCATGCCCCGCACCAGTACCAGGGGATGCCCAAGAATGTGGAGTACTCAGAGGACTGCAGAGTCATCCCAAAGACGCCATGAGGGCTGGTCTAACACTAAACTTTCCTTAATTTGGAGCATCTCTGGGAAGCTTCAGTGCTGCTGACATGGAACCAGCAAGTCAGTGTGGGCCAGTTCCCCCAGGCCCCCGGAGTGCCTGTTGGAGCCTTGCTACAGTTTGAACAGCCCACTGTAGATGCCACATGAGTGGGTAGGCCAGTCCAAATGCCATGCCCACAGCTCATCACCATATGGGGCACCTGAGCCCTCTGTGTGACAACAGACCCTCACAGAGCATCCCCCAGATATGGAGATCGTCCCCAGGTTACAGAGGAGGAAATGGAGGTTGGCAACATTAAAGTCACTTGTGGAGGGAGATGCTGTTAGTGGCCTTGAACCTAGGGCTGCTTTCTAATCTCTTGCCTGTTTGAAAGGATATGTTCACACTGCGGCATCCAAGTTTTAGGCACCATGGTACGTCGTAGCAAAGGTCTCTTTGAAGGTTCATGGGTTTCCATGAACAAAAGAGTGCATTGCATTCGTTCCCCACTTCCTGCTGCTGTGAGCCTCAGCCTGACAGCTGTGTGACAGACAGCACCGATGCCTGAATCCCCGAGGGCCCTGGGGCCAGCATACCTCCGGCAGCAAGCGAGAGATGGTGGGTGCTTGCTGAGTAGCACTCACCCTGCTGGTGTCTTCACTGGGTGCATTTTATCTCAGGGCCCCTCACTGGCCACAGCCCCAAGGTGGGCACATGCCATGTCCTGGGGTTCCTCCAATGCCCCAAACTCACATCTGCCTCTCCCCTCCTTCTGCTGCAGATCCTGGCGCCCCTGTGAAATTGCCTTGTCTGCCAGTGAAACTGTCGCCTCCGCTACCTCCAAAGAAAGTCATGATCTGTATGCCTGTAGGGGGGCCAGACCTCTCCCTGGCATCCTACGCAGCTCAGAAGAGTGGCCAGCAGGGTGGGGCCCAGCACCACCACACGGTTCTGCCGTCCCAGATCCAGCACCAGCTGCAGTATGGCAGCCTCGGCCAGCATCTCCCCTCCGCCACCGGCTCCCTCCCCATGCACCCCTCGGGCTGCAGGATGATAGACGAGCTGAACAAAACGCTGGCCATGACCATGCAGAGGCTGGAAAGGTAATGGGGGCGAGGGCTGGAGAGGAGGACCTGGCTGGGGAAGGGGAAGAAGGGCTGGGGATCTGATCATGACAGAGGGATGTGAAGTCCCGGGCAAGGGTTTATGCCACTGGGGGAAGGCGGGGTGGGGGGAGGGGGTTGCAGGTAAAATCAGACCAAAATCTGAATGTCAAGGAAAATGTGGAAGAAAAAAATAATGTTGTCAGTTGCCAACCTATAAAACAATCACATTTGTCAGTAAGGAAAAGTAACATATATGCTAGCACCTATTGTATTCCCGTAAGCTTTTAACACTTTTTGAAAGCATACACACATAATCATGAATAGTAAGGAGATGGGGAGAAAAATCTTTGTTTTTCTATTTCATATCTTTCTGTACTGCTTGATTTTTTTATGTCATAGATGTTACTTTTATGATATAAAAATGCCCATTTGAGTGTAAAATCAGAAAAGATGAGAGCTGGCAGAGTGGTGGCGGAGAACCAGAGGCACGGGAAAGGCGGAGAGGTGCCCTGGGTCGTGCCAATGGAGGAAGCAGAGCACTATAGTCTGCTCAGATGCATGGGAGCCTCTAATATTCAACCATGGGTGCAGCCCCTCTCTCACTAGACTCTGCTCTAAGTGACTTTGCTGGGAGGTCTGCCAGGAAAACCCCGCAGGCCCACAGCACAGACCCTGACTCCCCGCGACCTGGGGAGAGCTCTCATGCTGATTCCGAATAGCTCCGGTGTGTGTGTGCATGTGTACATGTGTGCATATGCATGTGTGGGTGTGCTCAAATGCCACCCTCTTGTGCCCAAGAGGTGGCTGAAATTCACCACTATGATTCCAAGGCATATTCCTTGACCTAGTTCCCTAGCATGAGAATAAAAAAGTGGTGATCTGCCATGAAGCTGGGAACTTTAATGCCTGTCCCAGTTTAGTGACCTCCGTTAACTGGGTCCTACGGTTGGGAAATTGCACAATGGGGTCCCAGCCGGTCACCAGGCAGAGAGCCAGAGGCAAGTTGGACACTGTCGGGAACTTCCTGTGGCAGTTTCCCAACTCTCAGCGGCTTTCTCCCTTCCTCTTGCTCAGCGGAGTATTCTGTGTTTGGGAAACGCAGGACTGAAGAAAGTGACTGCCGCTAGTAAGTCTGACTTGATTGTGCCACATTAATAGCTGCCTTCACAGAAGAACAAAAATGTACTTGGCCCACTTTCATCATTTTCAACTACTGTTGTTAATGAGGACAATAATAATTTAAAATTTGGATGACACTCTTTAGTTGATTACACACCTTTGTTATTATAATCATCACCCCACCTTGGGAGACTGAGCTCAGAAAGTGAGGAGCCCTGAGTTCCCCAGTGTCAGCTGCTCAAAGAAAGGTCCGCACACTGCTTGGTGCCTATCAGCAGTCAGCAAGGTACAAAAATGGGAGCAAACCTTTACACACTTTTATAGCAATTAGACAGGCTAATTTTATCTGTTGAATCTTACATTAAAAAAGAACAGAGACAAGAGAGAAGGGAGGGGCAGGGAAAGGGAAGGGAAGGGGAAAGTCAAGGAACATATAGCAAGGACTCATGGACAAAACCAAAGGGGAAGAGCTGAGGGAGGGAAGGTGGGAGGGGGCAAGGGAAAGAGGTTGGGGGGAGGCAGAGACAAATGTATTTAAAAAGTAAATTAAAAAAAATAATTTCATTTTTTATATTTATTATATTTTACAAAAGCATCTATTTGTGAAGGATTGAAAATTAAAATACATAAATCAACCAAGCCACCAATGAGACTGGCCCTTCCCATAGACATTTTGGAAAGCACTGCCCTAGGTAGCAATTCGAGGGGCCGCGCCATCCAGCCTGGCTTTTCTGGCTGCAAATCCAGAACTCTTTCTATTAAAGTGCAACCGCTTTCCTAAAGGCCTAACAGTCAATACAATTTCCTACTATATACCCAGTAAGTTTTTGTATCTCTCAGGAGCTTCACTCAATTGAAAAAGATACTCATGACAGTATACAATGAGGATATTGCTAAATGCGTTTCCACTTAAAGCATGGCATTTGAAAAGGTTCAGTTGAAAGTACTAAGCAGCAAGTTACACGGTGTTCCTCAGTTCAGTAATTTCTGTGCATTTGTAGAATATTTCAGTTGACTATAGACTAATGGGTAGGTCTTTACCTAAACTGAGCCAGATTCTTCATCAAAATGAACGCTAGAGAGCAAATGGGTGGCAGGAGAGGGGATGTCGTGACACAGTGGGAGGCGGGAGTGAGCAGGAGGATGGCAGAAACTTGGCAGCTGAGCCAAGGCAGTCCCCCGGCTCTGCTTGCCTCCTCTGTCTGCCCGCTGTCATCCCAGGTCAAGGCCCAGGGTTGATCCAATAGACCGAGCAGGACACAGAAAATTAATGCATATATCACTTTGAGAAGGTTTCCCTTCGGAAAAAGAGAGGCTTTCTTCCCAAACCAAATAAAGGTTGAGAGATTTTTCTGAGCATCCACACTGTCTGCCGGGAGTCCTGGCAGGATCTGGGAACAGAACAAGGTCTCAGGCCACTTGTCACTTTAGTGTGAGAACTGCCACTGTTTCTAGTGATGTCATCCTTTATGTTATTTTCAAAAAATTCTCCCTGTTGTTCTGACCAAGTTTAATACAGAAGGAAACAATTATTTTTCTCTCTTGGCAATTTCTGGTGACACCAAAAAAAGTCTGCAAGAAGAAACATGACCGAACACTTAGGCATTCTGCCAGCAGAGACCCTGAGATCTCACAGAAGCTCACCTGTAGGGCGTTAGCCCAGACCTGCAGTCGGAAGCAGATGAAACATTGCAGTTAACATGAGAATTGAGTGAAGAACTAAACAGCTTTAACATCTGACTTTGGACCATAAATTTGAATAAATAGTCATATTACAGTGAAAAGAGACCTTGGAGGCTGCTTGCCCACCCATTGCATTGTGTTCCTATTTGTCCTCTAGTCTTTTCAATAAAGGGGACCTCCCTAGGTCCCAAGAAGTCCATCCATTATCAACAAGGTCTGATTATTACAAAGTTCTTTACTATATCAAGCTAAAAGTTTTACTTAGTATAAACTCCCGCCCAATCTTATTTTTTATCTTTTACTGTGAAGGCTTTCAGATCTTTGAGGATAGCTTACTTTATCTATCTTCTCTCTTCTATGCTAATAATCCCAAATTTATGTCATTATTTATTGAGATGGTTTCTAGACACTTTACCCTCTTGCTTATTTTCTCCCAAGATGATTCTAAATCTGTTCTAATTTATATGAAGTTCTCAATCATTACCCTAACCTGAACCCTGCTTGTTGACATTAAAAAAAAAATAACATATGGTTAGATTGTCACAACATTGGCTCACCAGATTTGATGGGAGGGGCGCAAAAGGGAGAACCAGAGACCAGCTGAAGCAAACCTGAAGAGTTCCATGTTTACCCAAAGTCACGGGCTGCCCTAGGCAGCATGGCAAGCCAGAGGCAGCCCCCGCGTCATAGCTGAGCACGTGGGTTCTAAAATCCAGCTGCCAGGGTTTCAGTCTCAGAGACACCACTTCTTGTTGCCTTTGATTCCTCATGTGTAAAACAGGAATGTTAATAACACCACCAACCTCACTACAGTTGTTTGTGAAGATAATCAGTCATCTTACTGGATGGCAAAACAATAAGTGTCCAATAATTGGCAGTGAATATTAAGCAGAATTATATAGCATGCAAAATTTACCATCAGTTCCCCTAAAAGAGAAATTGCAAATAGTCTGATCCTATTTTGTTGTAGATTTCTTCTGTTTGTGTCATTTTCCTCAAATTAGTTGTTTTTCATTTGTTTTCTCTCCACTAATGATTCATATCTTTTTTGAAGGTGATATTTTATCATTTCAAATAGTATGCAATGTTTATTTTTAATATCTATAGTAAGCTCTGTGATCTAGTTGACATTGGTCTTGGAATTTACACTTCAAATCCTAATCAGCCACTAATTTTCATTCCCATCTTAATTCAGTTGATCAGTTCTATTAGCTGAAAATTAAATTACCACCTTCAAGAGTATCAAAAATATAATAATTTCAAAATTGGACAGAAAAAATTCAAGTCAGTAGTCCCCAAAACCCCCTCAATCTCTACAATTCTATTATTCAATAATTATTTTAGGCCTTTCAAAGACCACAAATCATTCATTATCCTAGTACAGTACATTTCATGGTGACAGTTACTTCTCTTCTTGTCACTTCAAGGGTCACAGGAAATTCTAAAGACTAATTCTTGATTCTGAACTACTACAGATGATCCCCAGGATTTCTTTTCACCTTAACAATCTGACATAATTACTGCATTGGCTTATGTTAATGATGTTTCTACCTGCAAATAAAAGAGTGTTTCAGGGTGATAAGCAGAGGTGCATTGGTGCCCTAGAAAGAATTAAACTCTGAACACATGTTATTTTTGTGAAGTGGCATAGTTGTAGAAGTTCAGAATTTTGTCCTTCATCATACAAATGGCAGACGTTTTTAAGTGAAATGTGTTTTCAGGAAAAGATTCCTTTCTCTTATGTTGATGACCATCTCTTTAATATCTCATGCAGTTCTGGTTAGACATTTGTCCCTAACCCTTTTAAGGTCAGAGTTTTATCAACCTCTTACTTTAGGTCAGTTCTTTGATTTTAAAGCATGTACTTATCATCTATAAGTAGCTGCATGTAGGTACTGTTTTAGTGTTTTTTGTTGTTGTTTTTTAAATCATGTTTATTACACTTGTCTCAATTTTTCCCCCTTTTTCCCTCCTCCACCAATCCTACCCCGTTCCCCCCTCCCGCAGTCAATTCCCACTCTGTTGTCCATGTCCATGGGTCATTCATACATGTTCTTTGTTTAGTCCTTTCTCCTTCTTTCCACCATTGTCTACCTTCCCCTCTGGTCACTTTCTGTCTGCTCCATGTTTCCTTGACAGTGGTTTATTTTGTTCATTAGTTTCTTTTGTTGAATAGATTCCACTTATAGGTGAGA